TAATTTAATTATTATGTGCTTATTGTGGTATGATACAAAAAATAATACAAATATAATTGTGAAATAAATGCTTGAATAACTGTATTATTATATTATATTAAATAACTCTTTAAATGTTCATTTAGATGGGGATTTTCCCCAAAATTCTTCAACCAGCTGTAAGTGCTGCATAACAGTTTCCCTACTCCGCTTTGCAACACATTCCACTCAGTCTAGTATCGATAACTTGTAATCGATTTTGTGTTTCTGGCAAAGGAGGCAGAGAATTTTTCTGCAGCCTTTTTGTTGTAAAAATTTTAATTCACGCTCATTGAACGGACTTTGGGAAATGAGAATCCTTTAAGTATATCTTGGTCCTCCCAGCAACGTACAATACGTAAGAAATGTGCAAATTTGAATACGTAACTAGCTAAAGTTTACCTTTAGCGCTCGGCAAAAGGGCCACAGGCGCGTGTGAATGTGGGCAGATAATTAAATATAATTACCGATTCGTATCAGATTAGCGTAATATGGATTCCCGTTACGGTCGAAGCTTCTCAGGAGGCGGTGGCAATGGAAATGTCGGTGGAGGCGGTGGTGGCGGCGTTGGTGGCGTTGGCGGCGGAAACCACGGCGGGGGCCAGTACAGACGCTACAGTCGATCCCGGTCACGTTCACGGTAAGAAACCCTCCCGACATACATACGTATGTGTGTACTTTACTGGTAAATATTAATCTGAAATATGTATGTGCTTGCAGCGAACGGAACCGAGAGCACGGGGGCTACAGACGCCACAATTCACGTTCGCGCAGCCGCGAGCGTTCCTCGAATTACAATAGACATGCCGGCGGCAGCGGCAGTGGCAGTCAGGACAAGGATCTCTATCGCGACCTGATCGACGACGACTACCAAGAGGAGCGCAATTACAACTCGCGCAATAACTCTGAAAATCGTCAGCACCGAGGCGAGGACAACTACGACCGGCGCGAGGATAACTATGATAGCAACCGCGACCACCGCTGGAAGAACTATGAGCGCCAGTCGCGGGAACGCAACTCCGACTATGATCGGGGGAATGAGCGCAACAAGTAAGACTTCCGTGAAGCAAATTCTTGCTGCAACTGAACCCTTGGATCCACCTTTTCAGTCGGGGCGCGGACTATCGGCATCATAATAATGGAAACAATGGGAACAACAACGCCCAACCGAACAGGGAGCGCGACAGGGAAAGGGACCGCGAGAGACGCTACTCCTCCGACGACGATAGCGATGTGACCGACGAGAGCCAGTATCGTCGCAAGCATCACAGGACCTGCAACGAAGCGCAAAACAATATCATCCTCTTCGGTCTTCAGAAGCACGTTACCGAGGCAGACGTAAGGGGAAGGTTCTACCAGAAATAAGAGCGCATTTTAATGTAACCCTTGCAGATCATGGGCGAGCTGATCAAAGTGAATATGGAGCCCACTTCTATACGAGTGATGAGGAAGCAGCCTACAGGTGGGTCACATAGCCAACGAACTTGCTATATACGAATACATACGCGTATGATTAGGCTAGACTAAGACCACATGAAGAGCGTGAGTATTGAGTGCCCAGCAATGTGATCAACGGGAAATACAATTCATTTAATAGTTGGCTTACGACAAACATCTACAAAATTCCACTATAAACCAAAAGCAATCCCCAAAAAATGTTACAAAACTATTGAAACAACCAACAACATATTTTGACAAAAACATTTCTGTATCTGCTTCTATCTAAAATTTAGGTGCCTCACGCTGTTTCGCATTTGTCGAGTTTAAAACCGTCGAGGAATCGAGACAATGGATGGAAATAACTAAGGTATCACAACAACCAACAAGACTCTTCTTGATTCAGCCACGAAATCGGCACTAATCAAAACTCGGCATCAACTGTAACGAAATCAGAGCTTTAAGTTCAGTTCTCCTCGTCGCCTTCTTTAGTTAAGAATCTCATCATTTCATCTGTTCTGACTGTTTCGTTTCGTTTGGTTCTCTAGTCCAAATTGGGATGGTTCAGAGCGAGAACTGAACTTAAAGTAATCATTTCACACTTTTAGCGGTAATCGAACGGAGCAAACTGCCAGCGACTACATCCGGCGCGACATCTGCGCGTTGCAAACACACAGAACAGAAGCAACCTGGTGACTGTGTAGCCTGTGAAACTTATGATCCAATCATTCCAGTCACTAATACGCCATCACACTGTTCTCTTCCTTCTCTGCTTTAGGGCTTTCTCCAGTTGGGCGATCACCGGGTGTCCATGCAGTATACACGCAACACACGCATCTCGGACTGGACTTGTGTCAAGGTATGGCCTGCCTCTATTTTCCTGCGCAGGTCGTTCGACTTCAATGATTTCCTTCTTTCGTATTTTTAGTGTGGTGCCACCAATTTTAAGCGGCGCTACCAGTGCTTCATGTGCAACGTCTCCCGCGAGGAAAGCGAGAATGTGCTGTCTGGAGCTGGAGAAGGAATCGATGAAGTCACCCGAATCCTCACAAAAAGTATACAAACCAAAACCAATCTCATGCAATGCCATTTTGTTCAAAGCAAAGAAACACACTCATTAACCTGCCATGCTTACCCCATGCAGAGATTATGTTGCGCAATCTGGATGCCCTGACCAACGAGGAGGGCGTGCTGACTGCCCTGCAGCAGCTACTGCCCAAGCTGGCCAAATCTGTCAGCAAAGTGCTGATCAGCCGTGATACCCTAACGCAGGCATCGCGAGGCATCTGCTATCTGCACTTCGACACGCTCGTTGACTCAATGGAGTTGCACAACGCCTTGACCGCGCTGGATCCACCTCTGACCCTAGATGACCGTGAAGGTAAGTGTCGTCGTGCTATTTTCTATCCAATTCGCTAATCACTTCCGTTTCAGTTGCCATTAGCTACTGCGTCGACGTTGATGATCGGCCGAAATTACCAAAGGAATCGCCAGCTGCCACCTCCACGAGTTCGGCCAGCGGAGGAATTCCAAGCGGCTCAATAGCAGCTGTGGCACCCTCAGGAGCTGGTGGAAGCTATACGCTGGCCGACGTTCCCCGGCTCGCGGAGTACAGTGCCTCGTTGTATGCCTCCAATCCGGCGGAGCAGGCGCACTATGTTCAGTACTACACGGACTACTACACGGCAGAGATAGCCAAGAGCGGTAACTCAGACCCTCAGCTGACGGAAGCCAATTCCGGGGCTGCCGTGGCTCTCTCGGCCATCCAACGGAAGCAAAAGAAGATGAGCAACATTGAGACGACGGCCACAGCGGCCGCTATAGCTGCTGCCCAGGCAGCTGCCGAAATTAAAGCCACATTTGCCTCCCAGAATGTGATCGCCCCAAGAGGAAACGATGGGAAGACTTATCGTAAGTGAATGGCATAAATCCCCAAGCCCCAAGCTCCATAGAACTCTCTCCCCTGCAGCCGCTCCCGATGTGTCCCGCTATCAGTACGATGAGAGCTCTGGGTACTACTTCGACCCGAGCACGGGTCTCTATTACGACGCCCACTCGCAGTACTACTACAACAACGAAACGGGAGCCTACCTGTACTGGGATCAGCGACGCAGCACCTACATTCTGGCGACTCCTGCCTCCACGCAGGCGGCACTGCAGGAGGTGCTGGCAGAGGCCGAGCAAAAGGATGACGATTCCAAGAAGGAGAAGGAAAAAGACAAGGAGAAGGACGGAAACAACAAGCACGACAAGGTCAAGGTGGCCAAGAAGATCGTCAAAGACATGGAGAAGTGGGCCAAGCAGCTCAACCAGAAGAAGGACTACACCGTGGTGGCCACACCTCATCCCATCTTGACAGGAAGCGAGATGTCGGGGCCCAGCAGCTCGCGTTCCACTCCAGGCTCGTATGCAGACGTGGGCTTCTCCATACTGGAGAAGAAGGAGCGAGCTAAGCTGGCTGACTTTATGCCGCCAGCGGCTCCACTGGGGGTGAATAAGCTGTTCAAAGCCTATGGCGGTGGCTCCGAGTCGGATGAAGAGACTGCGGGGCCTTCAGCGGCGGCTGTTGGTGGATCCAGTGCCGTTGCTGATGAAATGGACTTTGTGGACTTCCAGAAGCTGACATGTTTGCTATGTAAACGTGCCTTTCAATCCCTCGAAATCCTGCAGAAGCATTTGAAAATGTCGAATTTGCACAAAGAGAATTTGGCCAAGCTCAATCAAGGTTCAGGAGCGTCTGCTGACGCCGACCCCGATCCCGATAGCGACGCCGGTTTATCGTATGTAAAAGCTTTATTTTTGACCAGATATTTCGTAAATTCTTGGGTCTTTCCTTAGCTATCGGGACCGTGCCAAGGAGAGGAGACTGAAGTACGGTGAAAGCGATCCCCCGCCGCCAAATCGCAGCCGGGAGCGCTTCGAGCAGGAGATAAAGACATTGCAGACACGTCAGAAGAACAACGCTAGCGCGGCTGCAGCACTGCCCATCAGCTCGAACAATGTGGGCAATCGCTTGATGCAGAAGATGGGCTGGACGGAGGGCCAGGGTCTGGGCAGGAAGAATCAGGGGCGCACACAGATCATTGAGGTAACACAAGTCATACATAAAGTTAAGCCAGGAACGTTTCAATGTACATTTTATATCCGCAGGCTGATGGTCGCACCAAGAGTGTAGGCCTGGGCAACAAGGTGTGCAACCTGCCACCTGGTACCGACTACAAATCCTACATTAAAAAGATGATGAAGCAGCGCTATGAAAACGCCTAAACATGTAGATAGAACGCCCGAAAATGTATTTTTTAAGATTAATTAATTTAATTATTATGTGCTTATTGTGGTATGATACAAAAAAGAATACAAATATAATTGTGAAATAAATGCTTGAATAACTGTAATATTATATTATATTAAATAACTCTTTAAATGTTCATTTAGATGGGGATTTTCCCCTAAAGTCTTCAACCAGCTGTAAGTGCTGCATAACAGTTTCCCTACTCCGCTTTGCAACACATTCCACCCAGTCTAGTATCGATAACTTGTAATCGATTTTGTGTTTCTGGCAAAGGAGGCAGAGAATTTTTCTACAGCCTTTTTGTTGTAAAAATTTTAATTCACGCTCATTGAACGGACTTTGGGAAATGAGAATCCTTTAAGTATATCTTGGTCCTCCCAGCAACGTACAATACGTAAGAAATGTGCAAATTTGAATACGTAACTAGCTAAAGTTTACCTTTAGCGCTCGGCAAAAGGGCCACAGGCGCGTGTGAATGTGGGCAGATAATTAAATATAATTACCGATTCGTATCAGATTAGCGTAATATGGATTCCCGTTACGGTCGAAGCTTCTCAGGAGGCGGTGGCAATGGAAATGTCGGTGGAGGCGGTGGTGGCGGCGTTGGCGGCGGAAACCACGGCGGGGGCCAATACAGACGCTACAGTCGATCCCGGTCACGTTCACGGTAAGAAACCCTCCCGACATACATACGTATGTGTGTACTTTACTGGTAAATATTAATCTGAAATATGTATGTGCTTGCAGCGAACGGAACCGAGAGCACGGGGGCTACAGACGCCACAATTCACGTTCGCGCAGCCGCGAGCGTTCCTCGAATTACAATAGACATGCCGGCGGCAGCGGCAGTGGCAGTCAGGACAAGGATCTCTATCGCGACCTGATCGACGACGACTACCAAGAGGAGCGCAATTACAACTCGCGCAATAACTCTGACAATCGTCAGCACCGAGGCGAGGACAACTACGACCGGCGCGAGGATAACTATGATAGCAACCGCGACCACCGCTGGAAGAACTATGAGCGCCAGTCGCGGGAACGCAACTCCGACTATGATCGGGGGAATGAGCGCAACAAGTAAGACTTCTGTGAAGCAAATTCTTGCTGCAACTGAACCCTTGGATCCACCTTTTCAGTCGGGGCGCTGACTATCGGCATCATAATAATGGAAACAATGGGAACAACAGCGCCCAACCGAACAGGGAGCGCGACAGGGAAAGGGACCGCGAGAGACGCTACTCCTCCGACGACGATAGCGATGTGACCGACGAGAGCCAGTATCGTCGCAAGCATCACAGGACCTGCAACGAAGCGCAAAACAATATCATCCTCTTCGGTCTTCAGAAGCACGTTACCGAGGCAGACGTAAGGGGAAGGTTCTACCAGAAATAAGAGCGCATTTTAATGTAACCCTTGCAGATCATGGGCGAGCTGATCAAAGTGAATATGGAGCCCACTTCTATACGAGTGATGAGGAAGCAGCCTACAGGTGGGTTACATAGCCAACGAACTTGCTATATACGAAATACATACGCGTATGATTAGGCTAGACTAAGACCACACGAAGAGCGTGAGTATTGAGTGCCCAGCAATGTGATCAACGGGAAATACAATTCATTTAATAGTTGGCTTACGACAAACATCTACAAAATTCCACTATAAACCAAAAGCAATCCCCAAAAAATGTTACAAAACTATTGAAACAACCAACAACATATTTTGACAAAAACATTTCTGTATCTGCTTCTATCTAAAATTTAGGTGCCTCACGCTGTTTCGCATTTGTCGAGTTTAAAACCGTCGAGGAATCGAGACAATGGATGGAAATAACTAAGGTATCACAACAACCAACAAGACTCTTCTTGATTCAGCCACGAAATCGGCACTAATCAAAACTCGGCATCAACTGTAACGAAATCAGAGCTTTAAGTTCAGTTCTCCTCGTCGCCTTCTTTAGTTAAGCATCTCATCATTTCATCTGTTCTGACTGTTTCGTTTCGTTTGGTTCTCTAGTCCAAATTGGGATGGTTCAGAGCGAGAACTGAACTTAAAGTAATCATTTCACACTTTTAGCGGTAATCGAACGGAGCAAACTGCCAGCGACTACATCCGGCGCGACATCTGCGCGTTGCAAACACACAGAACAGAAGCAACCTGGTGACTGTGTAGCCTGTGAAACTTATGATCCAATCATTCCAGTCACTAATACGCCATCACACTGTTCTCTTCCTTCTCTGCTTTAGGGCTTTCTCCAGTTGGGCGATCACCGGGTGTCCATGCAGTATACACGCAACACACGCATCTCGGACTGGACTTGTGTCAAGGTATGGCCTGGCTCTATTTTCCTGCGCAGGTCGTTCGACTTCAATGATTTCCTTCTTTCGTATTTTTAGTGTGGTGCCACCAATTTTAAGCGGCGCTACCAGTGCTTCATGTGCAACGTCTCCCGCGAGGAAAGCGAGAATGTGCTGTCTGGAGCTGGAGAAGGAATCGATGAAGTCACCCGAATCCTCACAAAAAGTATACAAACCAAAACCAATCTCATGCAATGCCATTTTGTTCAAAGCAAAGAAACACACTCATTAACCTGCCATGCTTACCCCATGCAGAGATTATGTTGCGCAATCTGGATGCCCTGACCAACGAGGAGGGCGTGCTGACTGCCCTGCAGCAGCTGCTGCCCAAGCTGGCCAAATCTGTCAGCAAAGTGCTGATCAGCCGTGATACCCTAACGCAGGCATCGCGAGGCATCTGCTATCTGCACTTCGACACGCTCGTTGACTCAATGGAGTTGCACAACGCCTTGACCGCGCTGGATCCACCTCTGACCCTAGATGACCGTGAAGGTAAGTGTCGTCGTGCTGTTTTCTATCCAATTCGCTAATCACTTCCGTTTCAGTTGCCATTAGCTACTGCGTCGACGTTGATGATCGGCCGAAATTACCAAAGGAATCGCCAGCTGCCACCTCCACGAGTTCGGCCAGCGGAGGAATTCCAAGCGGCTCAATAGCAGCTGTGGCACCCTCAGGAGCTGGTGGAAGCTATACGCTGGCCGACGTTCCCCGGCTCGCGGAGTACAGTGCCTCGTTGTATGCCTCCAATCCGGCGGAGCAGGCGCACTATGTTCAGTACTACACGGACTACTACACGGCAGAGATAGCCAAGAGCGGTAACTCAGACCCTCAGCTGACGGAAGCCAATTCCGGGGCTGCCGTGGCTCTCTCGGCCATCCAACGGAAGCAAAAGAAGATGAGCAACATTGAGACGACGGCCACAGCGGCCGCTATAGCTGCTGCCCAGGCAGCTGCCGAGATAAAAGCCACATTTGCCTCCCAGAATGTGATCGCCCCAAGAGGAAACGATGGGAAGACTTATCGTAAGTGAATGGCATAAATCCCCAAGCCCCAAGCTCCATAGAACTCTCTCCCCTGCAGCCGCTCCCGATGTGTCCCGCTATCAGTACGATGAGAGCTCTGGGTACTACTTCGACCCGAGCACGGGTCTCTATTACGACGCCCACTCGCAGTACTACTACAACAACGAAACGGGAGCCTACCTGTACTGGGATCAGCGACGCAGCACCTACATTCTGGCGACTCCAGCCTCCACGCAGGCGGCACTGCAGGAGGTGCTGGCAGAGGCCGAGCAGAAGGATGACGATTCCAAGAAGGAGAAGGAAAAAGACAAGGAGAAGGACGGAAACAACAAGCACGACAAGGTCAAGGTGGCCAAGAAGATCGTCAAAGACATGGAGAAGTGGGCCAAGCAGCTCAACCAGAAGAAGGACTACACCGTGGTGGCCACACCTCATCCCATCTTGACAGGAAGCGAGATGTCGGGGCCCAGCACCTCGCGTTCCACTCCAGGCTCGTATGCAGACGTGGGCTTCTCCATACTGGAGAAGAAGGAGCGAGCTAAGCTGGCTGACTTTATGCCGCCAGCGGCTCCACTGGGGGTGAATAAGCTGTTCAAAGCCTATGGCGGTGGCTCCGAGTCGGATGAAGAGACTGCGGGGCCTTCAGCGGCGGCTGTTGGTGGATCCAGTGCCGTTGCTGATGAAATGGACTTTGTGGACTTCCAGAAGCTGACATGTTTGCTATGTAAACGTGCCTTTCAATCCCTCGAAATCCTGCAGAAGCATTTGAAAATGTCGAATTTGCACAAAGAGAATTTGGCCAAGCTCAATCAAGGTTCAGGAGCGTCTGCTGACGCCGACCCCGATCCCGATAGCGACGCCGGCTTATCGTATGTAAAAGCTTTATTTTTGACCAGATATTTCGTAAATTCTTGGGTCTTTCCTTAGCTATCGGGACCGTGCCAAGGAGAGGAGACTGAAGTACGGTGAAAGCGATCCCCCGCCGCCAAATCGCAGCCGGGAGCGCTTCGAGCAGGAGATAAAGACATTGCAGACACGTCAGAAGAACAACGCCAGCGCGGCTGCAGCACTGCCCATCAGCTCGAACAATGTGGGCAATCGCTTGATGCAGAAGATGGGCTGGACGGAGGGCCAGGGTCTGGGCAGGAAGAATCAGGGGCGCACACAGATCATTGAGGTACCAATACTACAACTTTAAATTTGAATTAGATAATTAAAATATGCAATTTGTTAAATCCACAGGCTGAGGGTCGCACCAACAATGTGGGCCTGGGAAACAAGGCTGGCAATATGCCACCTGGAAACGATTACAAATCTTATATTAAGAAGATGATGAAGCAGCGATATGAAAACGCTTGAAGATTATTTTTTTTTTTATGATTCCGTTTGAATTTTGAAGTATTCGGGCCATACCTCAACTGTGCATCCTCACCTGATTGTGCTCGTTTAGAATTATTTAAATGTAAAGAATTCTACAATAGATAAGCACAATATATCATCAATAAAGCATTTCATTCGACTTTTATAATTTGTTATTATTATTTTATTTCTGGGAGCGAGCCCCCCCCCCCCAGTAGTACTAACTACTTGGACGACTGTTTACACTAGGTAAAACACTCAATTCAGAAAATACCAAAACTATTTTTGTTGGTATTTTATCGTAAGTGGAATGCGTCACACTAATTCCCATTAAAAACGTGCACCCGGCAAATTTTATTTTATTAAATTGTTTTTTTGCCGTTCGACAGCTAGATGAGTCCAAAAAGTATTCCTCCCCTGACCTATAAGGTCGTGGCGGAGTGCTCAGTGTCCAAGGCAAGGGCTGGCCTGATGACGCTGCGGTGAGTAATAAAAGTACAGACCGGCTGATTCGTTTTAATCACATGAATCGTTTCGTTTCGTTTCGTTTCGCAGGCACAGTGAGGTAAATACGCCCGTATTCATGCCGGTGGGCACTCAGGGAACATTGAAGGGCATTCTGCCGGATCAGTTGATTGAGTTGAACTGCCAAATCCTGCTGGGCAACACCTATCATTTGGGACTACGGCCGGGCATTGAGACTTTGCGGCTAGCTGGCGGCCTGCACAAGTTTATGGGCTGGCCTCGTTCCATATTGACGGACTCTGGCGGCTTCCAGATGGTTTCGCTGCTGCAGCTGGCCGAGATTGATGAGAAGGGCGTGAACTTTCGCTCACCCTTCGACAACAGCGAATGCATGCTGACGCCCGAGCACTCGATACAGATCCAAAATGCTATTGGTGCGGACATAATGATGCAGCTGGATGATGTGGTGAAGACGACTACAACCGGACCACGGGTCGAGGAGGCCATGGAGCGGACAATACGCTGGGTGGATCGCTGCATCGAGGCGCATGGCCGGGACGATGATCAGTCGCTGTTTCCCATTGTCCAGGGTGGTCTGGATGTGCCACTGCGGCAACGTTGCGTCACCGCCCTGATGGAGCGACAAGTTCGCGGCTTTGCCGTCGGTGGACTGAGTGGCGGCGAGAGCAAACACGACTTCTGGCGCATGGTTGATGTCTGCACGGACTATCTGCCGCGAGATAAACCGCGTTACCTCATGGGCGTGGGCTTTGCCGCCGATCTTGTGGTCTGTGTGGCTTTGGGAATTGATATGTTCGATTGTGTCTTTCCCACGCGTACGGCCCGATTCGGATGTGCCTTGGTCGACAGTGGACAGCTAAATCTTAAGCAGCCCAAATACAAGCTTGACCTGGAGCCCATTGACAAGGAGTGCGAGTGCAGCACTTGCAAGCGCTACACCCGTTCGTACCTCCATCACATTGCCACCAATGAGAGCGTCTCCTGCTCCCTTCTTAGCATCCACAATGTGGCCTATCAGCTGCGTCTGATGAGGTGCATGCGCGAGGCCATTCAACGCGATGAGTTTCCGCAATTTGTGCGTGACTTTATGGCCAGACATTTTGGCACGGATCCGATTCCTGCATGGATACGGGAGTCTTTGCAAGCGGTGAACATTCAACTGCCTGCGGATGAGCAGAAGCAACAGGAGATGCCAACGAAGCAGGAGCAACAAGTGCTAGAAGTGTCGCAGGCAGCCACCAGTTAACACAAAACAGAGCGAAGACGAAGCTTATTATACCCCTTACGCTTTAATGACATTTGCTAAATATTCTACTGACGGATTAGATTAATGGGGTGAGCGCCTTGGAACTTCTTGGAACAGGAATCCCAGAAGTATTAACATCTCCAGCTAAAGTCAGTAGAACTTACCGACATTCTTAAGAGGCATTTGTACAAACCTAAGAAATATTTTGATTAAAAAATTTGCTTTAGAATTAAGCAAAACACACATTATGCAGTAAGAAATCATCACAATAAAGCTGAGAGATTGGTTTAAAATTTAAAGTTAAGCTAATAAATAATTAAATAATAAATAAATAAATTAAACTTAAAAAAAATGAAACCAAACTCGTTCACTTACCGCATAGATCTCCCCTGCCTAGGGTATGAGAAATACCGGTTTTTGATTCTGCTTTGCCAACTTTTTTAAGTTAAAAGCTTCTCTGTGGGAAGGAGCTTTTGGTACCAGCTGTATGACGCATACAGAGCAAATCGATTGTGATCGTCTCGTCTCGCGGCGGAACGTAAAATTCATTGCCGTTTTTGATTTTGTACTTCAGTTTCGCTTTTTTTCCCCCGCTTTCCCGCCCGTCACCTTCTTTGTGGCGTACTCGTTCATAGAGTACATGTGGAGAGTGCGCGTATAAAGAAAGAAAAGAGAAAAACAAAATAAAATAAAATTGCCTCTCACTTTTTTTTTTGGATTGGATTGGATTGGACTCTGGTGCTTGGGGCTGGATCTCTGGCGATCGCTAGCTCTTTCAGATCGGTGAGAGCCGACACACACAGAGAGAGAGAGAGAGAAACAGTTGCTGTGTGGGGTGCCAGTGGTCCCCAGTTCCCCATTCGCGAATTCTGCTCCGTCGTCGTCGGTCTAACGGTCTTGCTGCACGCATCTTACGGGCACATTGGCAGGCGAGAAAAAATCGCGCTAATAATAAATTGAAACCGAAATCAGAAGATCGGAAATCCAAATAGAGCGGTACAACTGCTACCCACCACAAAATTCACAATCAATTGTAAGAAATCCCGATTGAATTTATTCCATACAAAAATTTATTGTTTTGCAATGACAATTAATCACGGACTTGCAAGTGCGTGAGTGAGAGATGTTTATGGAGAGTGTTTGCCAGAGTGTGTGGAGTGGAGTGTCTGAGTGTGCTGGAATGAGCATACGAATTGTGTGTGTGTCTCTGTGTGTGTTTTGTGTGTGTGTGTGTGTGTGTGTGCTGAAGCTTAACACGGCTCATTCTTGTCTCGGATTCGTTCTGTTCGGTTGCCAAATGTGGTCAAAGCGAAAATAACAAAAAAAATATATATATACACACAGTACGTACACCAATACGTATACGTACCAAGTGCTTTTTATGGTTTTGAAAAAATACTGTGAGATTCGATTGTCATCTACAGGATCGAATCGTATCGGAACGGATTGGATCGTTGCTTGCAGCTGGAATAGCCCCAATATTCCTCACGGTATTTTTGTTCGTGCTCTCGCCCCCAGCCCTTATATAAATTATTGGCCCCGATAGCATCTGCAAATTAGGCAAAGTCCAAAAGCGAACTTTTCACGGCTGGTCCCACCATCACACATCTCTCTCTTATTCAATTCCTTTGCTTCGCTCTTATTATTTATATTTTTCTGTATTTTGCCATCGTTTTGGCTTTTGCCAGTGTTTTTGATTTTTCATGGTTTCATTTCTTTAAATAAGTTTTATTTTTAGCATTTTTAGTTATTTTTGTGTATATGTTTTTTTTTTCACACACCATTTTCGCTGTGGCCCGCTGTTTGCTTGATTATTTTTCGAAATTTTCATTCCGATTCTTTGGAATAGCACCAGAATCTGGGCACAGAGCACACACAGAGTGTGTGTACACATTGTGTGAGTGTGAAAACTCAAGATTTTCGGCTAAGTTGAAGGTGCAAATGCATATGCGTACAGATCGTTGCAAGCTTTGCATACGGTGGGCAGCACTGGCTTCAAAGGACCAAAGTTGGCTGCGCCTGCAGCCTGGGAAATAACGGGAATAGGAAGATCATCATTTTTAGTTCTTTGGGGATTTTTCCATGACCAAAGGGCGCTTCTTTTTTCTATTTCTGTTCAATTAAATAAACAATTGCCTGTGCAACAAAATGAATTAAACAATTTGCTTTAACCACAACAACAAACTGTGCTGTTGCTGCCTCTCTTTTGGTTTCTTGTGGTCTTGTAGACTTTTTATGGCCAGACTTTTTTTGTCTATTTTTGTTGCCTCATTTTTCAAACACTCAAACAGTGTTGGCCACAATGAAATTACACACAACAAAAGCGTTGCGTTATAAATAAAAAAGTAAACAGACAAAGCAGCCGATTATGATTGAACGCACACACACAGCAAAAAGTGTTGGAAAAAAAAACGTTTTTGGCTTTGATTGTTGGCCTTCAAAAAAATGCCAAAGTCTCAGACAAATGGCCAATATTCAAGTGGAGGATGTATCGCAAGCAATGAAGCCAAATGGCAAATTAACTCGAAAGAGAGTTCCAAAAGACCCAAAAACAAAAAACAACGAGTATGCCATACACATTTCCGAAATGATTGCTGGTAATCATAATCAGTCGAGAATTTGTCAGTTGCGTACCGTTAGCAGAGTCTTACTCTCGCTTGGTCTCTTCCTATGATCTGCCAGAGGGTATGATGCGTTAAACCATATGTTTGGAACGTGAGAGGGAAGAATCATCAGCGCAGTAGAATCATCCAGCCAGTATGGGGACAAACTGTGGTATGCACCGCTGTATCGCTGTGCCCTTTTATGTAGATCCTGTCTTTCATATAGTCGTATGCAGCCTAGTCGTAGGTTCATTCATTATTCGGTTGTATTTATTCTGCAGTCACTGAATCCTAATTAAGGACCCATAGGAACGATCGCTCGAAGAACTTACATTATATGTGTACATTTATGATTTTTTAGAAAATATTATCAAAAATTGGAAACGCAGTTCTATGTGGTATTAAAATAACTCGTACAAAACAATATCGCCGCTCTCATAGGAACGATCGGTAAAAAACATCTTTTGTTCAAAATTAAATTTAAAAAAAAACGTTGGCTTTAAATGTTTTTTAATAACATAAAATTGTATCAACATTGGATAAAGTTGTAATATATTGTAACATACACACGTAATATATTGTGACATTATGAATACCCTGCCACACGAACGATAAATCTGCTAGGGTATCAAAAGCTGCGGCCCCCCGTGTATCCACTCTGCATTTCTTGTTTTCTTTTGCTTTTGAATTTTTAAATTATGACACATGCGAGAGCCAAAGAGAGACGATCGCGTCCGAGCTCCATCTTTTGGAGAGCGGAACTAACTCTTTGAACAGCTGCTGAGTGGGTGGGATGGACATGGACGGACGGACAGACGGGCAGACATGCTAAATTCGTCACGAGAGAATGAGATATGATTGAGAAGAAGAGTGAGTGAGAAGAGGAAGGCATCAGAAGCAGAGGGACAGTGACAGGAATAAGAAGAAGCGAGACAGACGAAGAGGAACAGGAATAAGAAGAAGAGCAATTAAGCAAAGAAAGCTGGGTGTGAGCGAGAAAAACAGAAAGAAAACACAGGGAAATAAAATTTCACGACTGTGTTTTTTTTTGTAATTGATTAATTAAATGGTGTATACTTTTTTTGTGTTGCGGTCATGCATCTTGTGTCAAGTGATAAAACGCGTTTTTTTTTTAAATTTTATAAATGACTGATTGCTTTTTTAATGTCCGGATTCCCTAACATTTAACTTTTTAGCGCATCACAAATATCGCAAAATACATTAAAGTTAAAATCGAAATTGCGTTTTTTTACTTTGCTCAATTTTTAATCGAAATCCATTAAAAGTATTCCATTTCCTTTTATACATTTAATTGTTTTAATTTATGTGCCGAAGCATTAAAATAAAAGTTTATAGCGTATAAAAAGTATCTTGCGATACCTTTAAAAACAAAACCAATATTGATTTATTCCATTTGGAAGTGTTTGCATTAGTTTTTAAACATCTTTTTTGTGTCGAAGTATTTTCCAAACAATTCCATTAAAAGCTTTCCATTTTGCATTTATCCATTTAATTAAATTTCATTTGCCACAACATTTTAATCAATATTCTAAACAAAATCAACAGCAGCAGCAGCAACAACAACAATAATTATTCTGACCAGCTGAAACAAGTTTTTCATTTTCATCGTCAAAATGCAAATATGTCGGCGAGACCGAAAAAATTCCAATTCAAAAATCTTCAGTGAACATATTGTGTGTGGTGCCTTAATAGTTATTCTATGCAAATTATTGTTTGTGTTTGTGTGTTTCTGTTTTCCGTTTTCGCCAATATAATGCCAAAATATACGGAAATGGAATAATTCGCACAGATTTTATTCTTTGAAAATTGATGCTCTTCTCGATTTCAGCATAAACAGGGAGGTAAGCCTCATTGAGCGACACCTCCCCCAAAACAATGTATTACTGACTGGATTTCTTGCGAATCATAGATCATTGTGCCACATTTTTGAATAATGATTCACTTTTTTTTCCAAAAATTTCTCCAAAATCAAATACGTATTCGCATTGGAACGATGATTGTGTGCGGGTGGGATGGGACAGGTAAAAAGAGTTAGTCATAGGACCTATTTGCGGCTTAGAAACACCCACTTCTTTTAGCATTTCCACCCTCCCCAAAAATATACAAAATACATTTTACATTTGGAGTTATTTTGCTTACCTTTTGCAGAGGGTATTATGGATTTAAGGAACTATTTTGCAGCACTTGAAAAGTGTAAAACAATTATGGTTTTTTCGGCATTAAAAGTTGACTCAATGTAGCAATATCTGTCCAACTGTTTCTACAATTTTTTAACATTTTCCTGCATGCAGTAACCGACACCATTGGATTATTATATCCTATAGTATTTCTATTGGATTATTATATCCTATAGTATTTCTTATGTAGATACGATCACCTCTTTGCCAATCTCTGCAAGGGTATCCACAGCTTCGACCCATGAACTCATCCTGCCTTCCTTGTTTGGTCATCTTATGTTTGGATATTGTGGTATGTGGATTTACCTAAACGATTTGACTTCAGTCATGGCAAATGTTGATTCTTGTCGCACTCGTTTTTTTCTACTTTTGTTGCTATTGTTTTTTTTTGTTGGGGATCATTTGGTCAAGAGTGGGTGAATAAACTTCATGGTGTCTGATAATTTTTTTTTTTGGCTCATTTCAAACAGCAACAACAAAGTTGGTTGACAATGAATGAGTTGGTTGTTGACTTTGAGGCCAAAAGCAAAAGCAAACGCAAAAAAGAAACACCAACAAATTGATTTGTATTTTGTATATTTTGAGAGCGAGAGTGAATGCTTGGGCTTTGTGCTCCGTGGAGTTGAATGATATGGGCGTGAGTGGATCAACAGTTGGCATAGCCTTGGTATATCGAAATCTCTAGATTTAAATTGTAGGGCATTATTCAAACGGAAATTGGATGGGAAATTGAAATGTTTTTTGCATAAAAATTCAATTGATAAAGGTGAATAAGTCCAAGGCAGGTTTAATGGTTGATCTGTTCCATCTGTTTTCTGCTCTGAGATTTGAAGGAAAATCGAACATAAGTCTCTGTCATATGCTCTGTTAAAAACACATTTATTAATAAAGGGGAAAATATGAACTGTCGAATTAGTAACTGATTTTTATCCCGAGCCCAGCCTCAGGCAGTTGACTTTGATCTCCAAAGCCATAAATATTAAATTTGAATAGCCCCACCAACAATACATAAATCACACAACAATTTAATATTTGTTGCTATTATTAAATATTTCTTTTAGTTGTGTATCGAACCAAACCAAAATATCTGTCTGTCTCACATGGCTGAAATTTATGTGCAAAAAAAAACGAGACACAAAATTGGAATTAAAGCGGCCGCACCGAGTCGAGTCGGAGGCATTAATAAATCAAGTTCAATTCAATTAGAGCAATCCCGGGGACGACACAACGACACAAACATTGTCAGTTCTCTCGGTCTACATACATATGTATTCTCCCCGTACGGCTTGGCCCCTCATAACCTACGACAATTTATAATTTTGCACGAAACGGAAAGAAATAGCAAATGTAAATTGCAAATGCGAAAATGATACGACAATAAAAACATTGAAAAAACAATTCACTAATAATGCAATATGCAATTCGCCCAATAAATTGTTAAACAAATGTTATTCTGTAATCAATAAATGAGCAGCCGGCACCAGGGGCGGGCTAAATTATTTATGCGGAAGTCTACCAACCCACCCACCCACTCAACATGTTGTAACTGTCATTGTGGGTGGGGGTGGAGACGGCCACATAAAAAATGCCACTTTATACACCGAATATGGAATGCAATAATTTCGATTTCAGCATGAATTTATTTTCCACCTTAAGCCTATAATTTAGCACGAACAATGCACGAAATGCTGTTAATAATTCACATGGAGAACCCATAAAAAGAATTATTAAAAACGTGACGCGAAAAACTCTGCCCGTGAAAGAAAAATATTTTCAATTAATATTGGTATGCATATCCATTATATATATGGCAAATAAAACACACTAGATAATCACCCTTGCATAACATATTTTATATTTTATATTCTATGCTATTCCCATTATTTATACCTTTTTTTTCTGTAGAAAATATTTTTTGGCAAAAGATAACTTTCTTCGCTGATGACAGAAAATGTTGGCAAAAAAAAACCACACACACATAGACTTCTATATAGATTTCTATATATATGTTTGTATATACGTATTGTGACCTTGTCCCCTACCCCGCATAGCAAATGGATAGCTGGCAAATCTTGTGTCGACTCGCCCAATCTGGCACACATTTGGCAGACGAATCGATGAACCGTTTCGGAATAGATGGCACGATCCCATATGCAAATTATATGCACACTGCAGCTGACTAATGTCTGGAATGGCGTTGATCGCATCAATCGTCGCCTGTCAATATATATGTATATACGTAGTCCCCTATCGTTATTCCTCTATCTCCCGGCGACACTCGCCCCATTTGCCAATTTGCTATTCAAGGCAGTCATTTGTGCGGCAATTTGGCATCGGATATTGTCTGTACATAGTATGTTTATATATGAAATTATATACGAAGATGAAATCAGTTAAACTGAAGGCTGGAATTGTGTGGCCTGTGTGCGTTGACATCTTGAATGATAATTAAATCTTTTGGGACTCAAACTTGAACTTGAAACAATGGCGAGCAGACCTTCAATGCAATTAGAGGACTTAACGATGATCCCACACATATACAGATGGACTTAACTGAAAGAATAGATAAATAAACAAATAAAATAAAAGAATTCTTGATTTAAAATAATTCAAAAAATTGTCTCTAAAATTAATTTCATTCAATTCAATAAGTTTTTATAATAGACGCAAAACTATTTTCTTGTCTTGTTGTTTTAATGTCAAGAAATCCTTTCGTTCTATATATTTTTAGTATACATATTCTGGATTTATTTCCATGCAACTATTTATTGGAATATCTGTCTTATATCCGCACCATTTATATAAATCCTTTCCTTATCATTCGATATGATTATTATATTTAATAGCGGCTTGTGATTGTTGTGGCTAAGATCAGTCAATCTTACCGATTGATTCTGTCGACGGGAAACCGCAACCAGAATCGTATCAGGAAAAGTTTTATATTACAGCTGTCGCAGTGCCTTGCTGATAGAAATGTCAACTAATCAAGAGATCTCATCAACCAACTTGTTGCCCATTTAAAGGGGTATATTCATTTATATTTATTCCTATACCGATCCCATATGATTTGGCACTGTCGTAGAACCATTCATAAATGTCATCGTCAATTCTAATTCACGTCTTATTTTGAACTCAATTGGACTGAAAGATCTTTAAGAACTTTGAGAAATGTTAAGGTCAATGCAAATTGGCTAGAGAACAATTTTCAGCTATTAAAATAAGATGTATAGAAATATGTACATATGTATGTATGTATGTATGTATATTTGAAAATGTATATGTATGAGACTTTTGCTGTTGCTTTTGTCGAGTGAGGGCTTAGCTAAATACATTGAGCGTTAATTGAACTTGAAGTATTTTCAAGTCTGGCAAATATTTAATTTTAATGTGTCCATCAATGGTTGATAGACAAGCGCTACATATGTATAGACAGAGAGTGAGAGAGAGAGAAAGAATTACCAATGCATAGATATGTATTTCCAATGTTCCGGAAAGAACAAGAAATATTTCTAGCGAGGCGGTCTAAATTTAGTCAAAGGCGTGGGCCGGTGCCGCCGTTCAGCATTGAACATGACCAGGGTCTGTGACGTGTCTTATGATCCCAAATGGAACTATCTATATATGCAGAAATATATATATAGAATTAGATACATATATATAAATATATACTTGAATATTTTTGTGATTTTCTTGCAGATCTTGAGTGATAATAAAGCAAGCGAAAGAGACAGAGATAGAACGACAAAATGCATGTGCCATTATAAAGGAATAGAGGAAGATATTATTGGAGCAGTATCATAGCAAATAAGAGGAGGGTCCTGCATGTACCTACATATCGCTACGATATATATATATGGACTATAGATAACTGATATATTTGTAAGTATTTGCAAAATATTAATTAATATATAAATATTATAATATTCGCAATTCTTCTTGACAGATTTTAGAGTACATCGACTTTTGAGTGTTTTACTTTTTAACTAAATATATAGAGAGTACCCCACACACACACACACACACACACACACAACCCGCTCAGCCGCTCCTCACACCCTACCACATACACACATAGCACCTGCAATGGGTAAAGATTACTATAAGACCCTAGGGCTGCCAAAAACTGCCACCGATGAGGAGATCAAAAAGGCGTACAGGAAATTGGCCCTACGCTATCATCCCGATAAAAATAAAGCCGCAAATGCCGAGGAGAAATTCAAAGAGATCGCCGAGGCATACGAGGTGCTGTCGGATAAGAGCAAACGGGAGGTGTACGATAAATATGGCGAGGATGGCCTAAAGAACGGCGGTATGTACTGAATGGAGGGAGATCTTATTTAATCAGATATCAGATGAATCAGAAACTTCAATTAATTTCTGTATATATATATCCCTTTAGGCACCCGGAATGGCGGCAATACGAACAAAACGTTTACATATCAGTTCCATGGTGATCCGCGTGCCACATTTGCTCAGTTTTTCGGCAACAGCAATCCGTTTGCCTCCTTCTTCGATATGGGCGACAATCTGTTTGATAAGAATGTCTTTGATCTGGATACGGAACCGGATTTCTTTTCATCGCCATTCGGTGGCATTGGCTCCAGGCATGGTCTCGGCAGTGCCTTCAGGTTGGTTCATCGCCGAGTAGAGACTCTGTGCGCTTCGTTTGCTAATCTGTTGTAGGCCCTCATTCAGATCACACTCCTTCAATGTGCACACACCGTTCAAGAAGGAACAGAAACAGGATCCGCCCGTCGAGCACGATCTGTATGTGACCCTGGAGGAGATCTACCATGGCTGTGTTAAGAAAATGAAAATCTCCCGACGCGTCGTCCAGGCAGATGGTGGCAGCTCCCGCAAAGAGGACAAAGTCCTCCAAATATCAATCAAGCCCGGCTGGAAATCGGGCACCAAGGTCACCTTCCAGAAGGAGGGTGACCAGGCGCCCGGCAAAATACCCGCCGACATTGTGTTCATCATTAGGGATAAGCCCCATGCCATGTTCAAGCGCGAGGGCAGCGATCTGCGCTATACGGCGAGACTAACGCTCAAGCAGGTGAGTTACCCAGGGATAGGCAGGGGTATGTTTAATATAAAAGATATTAATGGAAGAAGAATTATGATCCAAGGGGGATTCTCGCATTAATGCCTGACAGCTGGCTTGTGGAAATACATTTAATAAATGATTACCCACATTCCGAAACACCTTTGGCAGCCCTATATCTGAGGCCTGTACAAGATCTCTTGTGTATGTATATGCTATTTTTTTTTTTTTGTAGCTTGGGTTCTCACAGTATGGCGCCCAATTAGAGGCGCAGCCAGTGCCTAAATCAAATTGTAATGAAATCAGGCAGGCATTATGGCATTATGGTTATGGCAAATTTACCATATACGCCATGAACAGCCAAGCACAGCTGCCAAATTGGTCAACATGGTCAAGTTTCAATTAACAACAAACCAGGCCCAGACAGGCGCACAGATTGAGAATCGAGCGACTCTAAGGGGAGGGGGGGTGGTGGTGTAGACATATACAATTTTGGCCAGCAATCTCCACGTCTAGAGCGTTGTCCCCACTGAGGTGTTAGATTTTTACACACTCGCAAGCGGCGCAAAACTTCGCACAAAAATTTTCGATTTTTTGTTTGTTGTAAATTTTGTTTGCTGATACTTCGATCCAATATGGACAGATCCATAAAACGCCAAAACGTATATCAAAAATTTTGAAAATACTCCGAGAACGCACGAACAAAAAAAAAAACACAAAACCAAAAACCAAAACCGAAATGACACGCCACGAAGTTTGTAGTGATGTTAAAATTGTTAATTGCATTAAGTAGATTAAATAGCTGAGACTTGGTTCAGTTGCGAGATTTTTAACATTTTATTGCTTGTTAGTGCGACAAATTTAGTAAATATTTTTTTGGGCTTCTCTCTCACTATGGCAAGGTATATTTTTGGCTGGATTTTTGAATTTATGAATTCCATTTTGGTTCCGCGGGCTGTGCGGCGTCTTGTTTTGGTCGAGCTTAAAGTGTCATGTTTTATGCTTCTATATAGAAATATTTGACACGGTTTTTAGTTTAGTTTGTTGTAATAATTATTTGGGAAGGTGGGGACTGTTGGTTGCTATGGGAATGCATTTTGGTTTGATGTGTGTGAGTGAGTCCATGAGAATGGGAATGTTTAGTTGGCTAGAGTTTATCCATGTCATGATTATCTGTGGATTATAGTAGACCTGAGACTTACAACCCCTGGAATAAATACTCCCCTTTTTTAATTATAATCTTTAACATTTCACTGCCTTCCCCACAAATTGTTTCACAAAAAAAAAAAAAAACAAATAAATCTTTATTATGCTCGTAGAATCTTTCTCTCTGTTTGACTCTCAAAAGCCGCCGCCATAAGGCAATTGAAGCTCCATCCATATATGTTCATCCACATAATTGCCAACGAAAATTTCAATTTTTTCAGTCATAATTTGTTGTTGTTGCTTGTAGCTGTTGTCGCGGCTGCATTAAATTTACGAGTAATACGACCCATAAATTACATCATCGTTTACGATAAAAATTCAAGTCAATGAGTTTCGAATTAATTTCTTTTTTTTTTTCATTTGCCTTTTTGGGCAAACATTTTTTGATTCACATCTGCGTTGATGTGTGCAGTCAAAGGGATTTAAATAATGGCAGTGATGTGATCAGAACAATAGAATTAATAACAAATGGTAGTAATACTCTAGGCTTGAGTAAGCGAATATTTTGAAACAGTTTTTGACTTTAAAGAGCAATTCTCAATGCAGATTTTGCAGGAATATTATGGGGATTAAGGGAGAAGTAGAGCTAAGAAGTAGTTCCCACAAATTGTTTTACCTTCGAGCATTTGATGGATATTCCTGTGCCTGAAAAGGAGTTTTAACAGCAAGTACTGCAGCTTGGACTGTCCGCCCAAGGGCGCTTTCACTGCACATATTTTAGAAATGGAAATTAAATTTAACAATGCTTTTGTTTTCAAGTGCCTGCGTCAGAATTTCCGCAATGGCAGCAAACTAAAATTGATGAACAATTCAAGGATGTACAACCAGAGACTCGCCCACTCAACAGACTGGACTGCAAACTAGACTGGGACTGGGTTCTGGTCTGGGCACTGACTGCTCGGACTCGCTTGTAACTGATGGCCAGACGCCGCACAGTATTTCTCTTGTTGTTATCCCTGTCTGTCTGCCCGAATGGCATTGTCATTCGATTGGTAGCTACGATGGGTACGAGTACAACAAAATGATTTGCTATGAGTGCGGAAAAGTCCCTCACATTTTTTGTTCAATTTTTGTTTTTAGAAAAAAAAAAACGCAGGGAAAACTCCATACAAAAGCATTTGGTAGTCGAAAACTTCGTTTGCATTTTGATGACAGTTGTCAGCAAAAGGATGGGGCCGAGCTTCACTTCAAAACAAAAAAGAACCCACCAGAATAATGCTTTATGACATGCGATTGAATGTTGTTGATTTGTTTTTTTTTCACCAGGAAAATATCCCAGCCCAGCCCAGCCAGCCCTTTCCCTGAGTTCTTTCAGTGAGAGTAATTGTCTAGTGCTGCGTTCGAAATGAATGCGGGAATGTGCGGAAAATGCGGGAAAAATCTATGGAAGGAATTTATGTTTGTTGCCTGCAACTTGCCATTAAACTGAAGCTGACATTCAAATTTATCATCTATGGCTTGATTTACATCTCTTTTTGTTTTTGTAGAAATCCTAGCTTTGAAAATGGACTTCCATTTGAAGCATTTGGGTCTACCCTGGCAGAGGGTAGTCTGCAGCTCTCCACCAGAAATACTCTTTATTTTTACAAGTTTTCAGGAAGCTTCCTAAGCATATCCAAAAACGCGTTATCCATTTGAAAATTAGCTAAGAAATAAATTTGATTATTGCTGCAACATAAAACCAAATGGGTTTAAAATAGATGGAAAGATTGAATGATCCCATAACCGAAAAGAGTATACCAGTAGCGGCGTTCTAGTGTTGATTTTTAGTTTCATTTTAGGCCTTGTGCCTTGGCTCGTAGTCGTACCTGATCGCTGAGAAGTGGTCGCAAAATTTTATCGTAGCGCCATTCACATTTTTATTCCCTTTATATTTTGCGTTCCCTCTGTTTTCCCGCTGTTCACTCTTTTTTTTTTTTTTTGTTTGTTTTGGATTGTGAGGGGAATTTTTTATGCTTCAGCTTCCGTAAAAGGTAGCAAAGTATTTAAGCGTTACAGATTTTTTTATACGAGCATATGTACGAATATATATATGTATATTTTTTGCGTTTCGTTGCTTTAGTTGGAACAACATTTTCAACATTTCCATTAAAAAAATATTGATGCTGGTCGACCACATCCACATCGTCGTCATCATGGGGACGGGACGGGTTGTTGTTGTTGGGGTCTGTCGTCATCAGTTTATGTTGTCATCGCCTTAAATTCGCCATTCAGCAAATACTCAATGCTCGTACACCGATATATGTATGCACATACATATATATGTATTTAAATATTCATAAGGTGTGCACTTTGGTTTGGAATAATTTTTTGGTCGCTGTTGTACTTCTCATTTTGATTGGGTGAGGCCCAGAGCACATTGACAACTATTTAACAAGTGTTCGGCCAGTTCTTGGGTTACAAATCACTTGTGACAAGTTATGGATTGGCATAAAATATTATATCACACAGTACCCGATAGGCATCTGGAGATCCAAACCCTTTTCCACTGCGAGTGTGTCGCGCATAAATCATTGATGCGATTGACATCTAAGTTGTTGGGTTGTTGGGTTATTTATGGGATCTAGTTGGAATATTTGAAAAATGATTGTATTGCCGGGGTTCGGTGACCCAAAAGGATTACGGATGATAATCTGTCATTTCAAGGGCTTTCGATAGGGAAATGAAATGTTATACACAGCAATGCTAAAGATATGCTAACAAGGCAAGTCGAATTGGTAGTCAAACACTTCAATGGCAAGTCAAGATTGCGAATCAATTTTACGAATACCTCCGGTGCATATGTCTATCCACTTAAGACTGCTACTTTGCATAGTAAATTTATACAGTAAACATGGAAGATACACATCCGAGAAAAATGTGGAAGTTTGGAAGTTTTCTTTAACGATTTGTTGGGAATAAGCTAAGTATTTCTACACAAAATTCTATATAATTTAGGGACTCGAAGGAAACTTACGCCCATAATGATCATCTATATTTTACTGTAGAATCGATATTTTTATATGTTGCATCCTAATGTTATTCCCAGTGTATTATGGTCTGTCTGCTGTTGAAGAATTCACCATGAGATTGTTCTCAGTGTGTTATCTTATGTTGCCTGTGCATTGCTCTGCTCCTTTTGTGTCTCACCACCTTGCTTGATTTACCGTTGTTCTGGTCATTTGCCTATGCCATTGCAATGGGACGCAGCAATGCATTGCTGTTCTCGTGCTAGTGAGAGAGTGGACTCGCTCAGAGAGGATCAACGGAGTGAGATGATGAGAGCGCGTTGTGCGTGTTCCTTTGCAATGATCAAGTGTGGGTTAGAAAGGGAAAGGGACAAATGTTAACTGCGTCGCAGATAATTAGAGAGTTCTTTAGAGTTTTATACTGCGTCGAGCGCAGTCGATTTTGGGCGAGTTCTCTCGCGGAGTGATTTAACGTGTCGCAATGACAACAGTTTGGAATTCCATTGGAAAACCGACATAAATATAAGAAAAACGTAGTTCAATATGAAATGAAAAAGATCCTACAAGTGCAATCAATGATATTTAATTGATAAAAAACAAGCAAGAGGCTTGTCTATCTTATTTTTTTTTTGCTATTAGTTTTCTGAGCACTTGTAACCATATCTAGTTTCCAAGAAAAAGTACACAATTAACTTGTAAAATGATTAAATTGATTACGTTCCATTAAAAATCCCTGCCACTGACTCACATTTTGTACTGCTGTCGTAAAAAGCTTTCCTAAGACCCTGCAAATACACAAGTTTTTCGATCAAACCCTCAATGATTATGTGATCAGTTTGATAAGCCCAAACTCGGATGTACTTTGCTGATTAGATAAGTTCGGGCTATAAATAACACACTGATATGCCACCAAATGAATCCAAAAATAGTCGACCAGTCTTTAATTAAGTCAGCTTTAGGTTATCATAGTTTTCCCATGAGAGAAAAGATTGAATCGGGTAGAGTTTCGGTCCGTTTTGGGCTGGGCCTAATTAAGTAAGCCTCGAGACATCAATGTCTTGGGCCAGACAAACCCTGATTGATGCCCATCTTTTAGTGGGCCAATTAAACAAATCGTATGTCAAACGAACAGAACAGACATATCAATGGAAATGGGAAATGTTCAATGGGCAAAGAAAGGAAAGGAAACAGGCAAAAGCAAACAAAGAAAGCAAAAAGCCCAATAGAATGGACACAGAAGCATAGAAGCGTGTCAACAACATGTTTAAACACGAATTAGGCTACATAAAAAAGGATTTACAAATGTTATGTTCGATACGAAGGCAAACACAGGACGACTAAGGAGCAGCAGCAGCAGCACAAGAATATACAGAAATAGGGATGGAGTATACTATCGAAGGGATTGGGGAGGGGGAAAAAAAGGCCAGCTAAGAACATAAACAGGATTACCAAAAAGATTGATAGATCTCTGCCACATTCGACAGTGGGACTCATGTGTTGTGTTTGTTTAGCTTGAAATCGGGGAAAGCGAAATTGGGTAAAGCGAAATTGAGTCGTTGCGGTTATTGGTGGCGTGGGGGTTATATTTATTGACCATTTTGATTGATAAGCCAAGTGCAAAAATAAATACAAAGAAACAAAAATGTACAATAAAATTCTATTCATTGATTTTGCAGGCACTCTGCGGCGTTGTCTTCCAAGTTCCTACCATGTCCGGCGACAAGTTGCGCATCAGCACCATGCAGGAGATCATTAAGCCGAATACGGTGAAGCGCATACAGGGCTATGGCTTGCCCTTCCCCAAGGATACCACCCGGAAAGGTGATCTGCTCGTGGCGTTCGATATACAGTTTCCGGAGAAATTGACTGCTGCCCAGAAGGAGGTGCTCAGGGACATGTTATGAGGGCTGCGGGCTGCAATGGATGCCCACAGCCATGAGCAATGACTCAACACACACTCATCCCCAGTTCGCAAACGCGTGACTGGGATTAGTCATACCATACACACACACACACACATAACACTAAAAATCAACCCGAATCAGTCAGTCACTCTCTCTTTCCTCCTCTCTTTGTTCTATTCATCAGCATATCAGTTGGCATCCTGCAGTTGGGATGTGTCCACCCATCCCATAATTTTTGCTTGTTTGTGTTCAATACATTTTTGCGCATTTTTTACAGGAACTTTTTTATAACCCCCCCTCCCCTACACCCTTCGACGGTTTTGCTCATTTACTCCCCCCCCCAGACCGGTCCTTACCTACATGATTACATAATATATATGTTGACCATAGTTATTATATCATTAATTCTTAATTTATTTGTCTAAATTAAAGCATTACATTTAATAAATTACACACAAAATACATGTGGAAGAAAAACAAAAACAAGCGAAAACAATGTGAAGAAATCAATCAAATTGTTTAAAATTCTACATAAATCATAAGCTCAAAATTTTATATACTGACTGAGTACGGGTATAAGTAGAGTCGCGTCCCCAGAAACGACTAACACGTACCTTCTCGTTTTAACTTTATTTTTTTACACATTTTAGGTTGTAAGCGTGTCCAATTATTGGTGCACAGTCTGGTCTTCTGAGCAGCCAGACAAATCGGTCAAGGAAATCTATTAACAATCTGCAAAAAACAAATTAAACTTCATTTTATTTTTATACATTTCAAAAACTTTAAGGCAGTGAACATCATAGTACTAAAACGAATACACATTGTGATCTTCCATGCATTTATATAAAGCCTCCATACTCCATACAATTGAAAAGTTTCCCCCGAAACAGGAAAAGTGAAATTTTCGTTTTGGTAATCGTCGAGCGTTTGCCTAATTAGCTGCCGTTGCCTGTCTGGCGTACCAGAGATCTCCTCTCCTCATCCCTCCTGCCCATGTCAAACGGAATGCTGCTCGTTAAGTCATTAAAATTGCATGAAGTGAAAACTTTATGGTCTGCAAAGTTTGCCTCAAAGCAGAACTAACCCAAAAATACAAAAAAAAAAAGGGAGGCGAAAATTCCAGTAAACCAAAACCGAAAAGAATGAGAAAAGAAACCAACATCAAAGCTGGCAAATGGTAATTCGTTTAAAAAGAAATCCAAGGACAAGCGGGACATAGACGCATTTCATTTGCAGACAATAAACAGGCAGCAGCAGGAGCAGCAACAGCAGCAACAGCAGCAGCAACAACTGGAGGGCAAAGTAAATAAATTAAATTCTGAACAACTCTTTGCATACAAAATAGAGGAAGCGCCATGGCGTTACAGGAGAGAGGAATGGTCCGCCAAAAAAGATTCAAAAGCTTTCTCAGATTTCAAACACATGCCAGGGCCATGGCCCAGAGGAGTGGAGGAGCTGTAGCCGGAGCTCTGTGCAATGGATACCAGAGACAGGCGAGTATTCGATATGCACGTGCCTGGAACACTCCACAGACTTCTGACACTGTAACAATTCGTAGCGATTTTCCACTTATTTGCTGGAAAAACCAAAATAAAAAAAAAAACGAAAGGAAAGGAAAGCCAAAGGCAAAGCCAAAGCCAAGTAAAAGCCAAAAACGAAAACCTCAAAATGGTAGGCCGAGCGCATGGATGCCGAGGATGAGCCAGCAAGAAGAGACGTTGCCATTACCAGGGACCACGGCCCCAGTCAAAATCACAGAAAATCATCGACAAACTGGCAAATGTGTGAATTGAATTTTCAAACAATTTCTGCCCTCCCCCTCCCTGTGCAGGGTAGAGAGTGCAGCAGGGCAGGAGTAGTGAGTGGCGCGGCTGCTATGTGTTGTCCTCAGCATCCACATCAGCGTTCAGCCTTCAAAACCTTCAAACCTTCAGCCTTCAGCATTGGGTGCTGGTTCCTGGTTCCTGGTTGCTGTTCCTGGTTGCTGTTCCTGGCGCTTTTCAATTCCCTCATTCTATTCTTTGAACAGGAACGTGGAACGTGCATGATTTGAGATTTGATTTGGGGTAGTGGCGGCGGCTACATTACAGTCGCTGAAACCTCAGCCGCTTGGGTAAACCTCGTTGTCCTGCTCGTTTGAAGCGGTTTTTAAACATTTCGCTCACGTTCCGGATGTTTATGCCATTAGCGTTTAAGTTTACCCATACAAAATGCGTCTCGTAAATAAAGCAAATGCTGCCTTTGTTTTTTTTTTTTTTGGTTGCTTGTTGCAAAGCCAGCCCAACGTCTGTAATTGCCATTGGTAATCGATGCTGCGGCTAGTTATTGAAAATTACGATGGACGGCGACACAGGAAGCATAAAATTAAACGAATTTACGCGCCCAAAAGAGAGCAGTTTAAATGATACGAATTCCATTTTCACTTGGTTGTACTTGCAGGAAATTAAATGATAGATATTAATAATAATTTGGCAGCTAGTTAAAAGGGCATTAAAGTTTAGTATTAGTAGGTGGACATCTTGATTGCATAGAAACGGAAATTTTTAGATTAATATTCAATAATTTAAATGTTAGCCTATTTTTTCGCAGGCTTTTACTTGTGATGCTGCTGCAGGCGAGTGTCATAATATTCAGACTTTAATTAATTATATTGCTTGCTTCAATAAACGTTTTGCCCAAGAGTAGGCAACAAAAAAATATTTATTTTGACTTTTAATAAATGTAAAACGAAATTTGAGAATTTTCCGAACTTTTAGGAATTTATCACTAATACTCGCAACAGTTGCAACAGCTGCAACAGCAAGACTGACAGCAATAGATGCAGCAACTCGGCAAATTCTCGTCTTGTTCTGTCTCTGGGTTGCCACACCCATTGCTGAACGCCTTGCACTGTTCCGATAATTTCTTATGCGCCGCCCTGTGCAGTCGTTCGATGCGCTCCCTATAGGTTCTCTTGGGCACCACAATATTGCTCTTACATTCGATATGATAGAACTGGCAGTTGGTCTGCATGGACATGTATGGGATATCCATTTGGGGTGCGGAAGGGGAAGCGCAAGTTTGCTCAGCTGGCTGGACCGCCGCTCCGTAGTCCGGCTCATTCAAGCTACAGGCGCTGATTATCCTCCGCTTTGTGAATCTCTTCACTGGCTTTGCTTTCTTCTTTTTCCACTTCTTGGAGGAGATTTTCGTGAAGGTGCGATTCGTGATGGCTGCCTGAATTTCTCGCTCATACGAGTCCTGACCATTGGCGGCGCTCTGTTTGAGGGTCGAGACCAATTCGTAGCGATGATTGATGTCGCCGATCGTGCGCAGTGTCTGCTCGAAGGATATTTCCACCTGCTCGACAGCGTGCAGCGTGTCCAAAAGTAAATTATTTTTCATCATTTTTCCACAAGTAATTTTATTTGTGAGCGTTCATATGAAATATACACAATACGAATTAGCTCTAGTACTTGAAAGGAATTCCAAAACCATCCAAACCAGCCATTACCCCAGTTAAAGTGGATTTGTCATGGGGGAAATTCCGATATGAATCGTTCGTTTGGGAAATATATACTCAAATAATAGCCTTATCTGGACACAACACTGATAAAATATTTCTGGCCTAATATAGCTTGTTTTCCTATAAAAAGGGCGGGCACGTAAACATGAACATCAGTTAAAAATTGCTTTTACTAACGCCAAGAGATGTCGCCGCCACCACCGCAACCCCACCATCCTCCGCACCAGGGACCAACCCAGCAGAGCCCAGCGCATCCAATCCACCATGAGCCGTCGCCACCGTCGAAACCAGACCATGGGCCGAATCACGGAGCTCGCTAAGCACTAACTTTGAAACTGATGTTGGATTAACTATGTACTTTTGTGGTGTTTAATTAAAAAATATTGTATACCCAATTTGAACCAAAACATATGCCTAAACCTGTCAATTCGCTATCTATTAATGTACTTTAGTAATAGTCTATCATATCTTTCCTCAAACGAGGATCGAGGATTGGAAGAACGAAATAGTGAACTAAAAACAAAGATCTAACGAAGTTGTACAACGTAATGGATTTTCAATTTATATTTTAAAAATTATATTGCATCCAAAATCATATTTTAAGGGATATTTAAGGGGCAAAGGAATAGTAGGACTCTAAAAAGATATGCAAGGATTAACTCTAGAGAAAACTTTTAAAAAGTTGAAGCTTTTGGTTTATTGTATTTTGGTTTGTAGTTCTAGTGTTTAGTTTTTAGTGTGCTAGTTCAGTTATCACACTTCAGTGGGCTATATATTTTATAGGTACAACAGGGGACAAGCCCCTGGGCAATCGCTTCGCTCGCTCCCACCACCCATTTCTCTGCGCTCTGCGCCTGATTAGCACATCACAATTTTGCATTCTTATTAATAGATGGTTGAATGGATGGGAACATACAAATTGATAAAGAAAAAAACAAAAATACCTTCGATTATCAAGAATTTACGTGCAGAAAATATTATGATAATAACATTACACGGATGTCCATGCCTCTACTTTTATACCCTGTACTCAGCTAGCCAGATTTTGGAATATAAATTTGTGTTCGTTTTTATTTTTTTTGCTATTGCCTTTGTCTGCTTTGTCTTTCCTCTTACAGCAACACGGCGTTCCAGCTTGCTCTTCTCCGCCAGAGGGCGCACACTGCACAAGGCAGAGTTTTTTTTTTTTTTTAAGTACATTATGTAGTTTTATAGTAAACAATTATCACAGACAATAAAGTACATTTACTTAACGTACTGGTACTCTTGATTAGCAAGCTTTTTTAAGGGTCAGGGACAATTTCTATTTACAATTTACAATTATAAGTTAAATGCGGGACCAACGGACGAAAACGGAGATTGTGCAAGGAACAGGAATTAATATGTTCCCGATGGCCAAGTCGCTGGGATGGGTGCGGTTTAACCTTCTGCTCCTTACCAATCTTCTAGCGAGGACATTCGGGTAGCTTCGGTCAAGTATCTTGTGGCTTGCTCGTTAAAAATGTCACCGAGCCAGAGTTTGTGAGCTAAAGAGAGAATGAAGGGGAAAATGAATTTCCTCATTCATATTAATGATTCGATCCCATGATTTTGGATTCAAAATTAGCTTCTTCTAGCTCTTATTTAGTCTCTGAGATATAGGAGCTCATCGGGACAGTCAGGCATGGCTTTATCGACTCGGCTTTTGGTGCTGATCAAGCATATATGTATGTATATACTCTATGGAGTAGGAAAAATGTTCCTTTCGCGTGGTGTTACACACAGCCATTCCCTTTCCCTTAGTTAAAGTGGATTTGTCATGGGGAAATTCCGATATGTACGCAGGAAACAGGTAGGTGCTCAAATAGCCTTATCTGGACACAATACTGATAAAATATTTCTGGCCTAATACAGCTTGTTTTCCTATAAAAAGGCTGGCACGAAAACCTGAACTTTAGTTAACAATTGAAATTGCCTACGCCAAGATGTCGCCGCCACCACCGCACCACGGACCACCCCACCATCCTCCGCACCACGAGCCACCCCACCACGGACCGCCACACCAGACCCCAGTGCATCCAATCCACTATGAGCCACCACATCATCCGCCACACCACGGACCGCCGTCGCCACCACACCATGGGCCCCAGTCACGGAGCTCGCTAAGGCTCGTATCTAACTGTGAAACTGATGTTGAAGAGAAATATACGCGATTTCAACCAAAACATATGCGTCAACCTGTCAATGCGCTATCTACTCTAGCAGATAAAACCTAATACCACACACATGCGATAGTCTATCACAGCTCAAACTATGATTGAGTGATTTGTTAGTGGTGAAAAAAACAAAAATAAACAACAATATTGATCCCACGAAAGTGTACAACAAATTGTATTTTCAATTCATATTTTTAAAAAATAATATGGGATTGAAAACGATTGGCATCAAAGCGCTCACAGCTCTTATGCATGAAGCTAAATGTTATAGTTTTTTTTTTTATTTAATTCATTAACAATAAACGGGTACAATTAAAATATGAACATTAAGGGAATACAGGATAGGAAAAGAACATAAAATATATAATTTGGACGATAAAAGATATTGAGTTACATCTTCCCGAGATGTCTCCAACCAATATCCTCTAGGCTAATGTCCAACGAGGATACTATAAGAAGACCCCACTGTAAATTAGATGGATAGAGTTGCCTAGACACGGAGTCACCGATGACATAAGTAGGAAAGGAGGAGAAGAGAGAGAAAGCAAGAAGCCCAGGTGTTCAATTTCTGACATTCATTCGATTGTTGACAGAAGAACGCAGCAGACAGTACAAAAAAAGAGGCTGTACAAAAAAGTCAAAAATTAAAAAAATTAAAAACAAAACCATCTAATTACATAGCTCTATTAGAACTTTGTTAGCTAACGGGATTTACCAGTCTCGCATAAATCAGTTTCCAGATTTATCGTTTATTGAGTTCCCAAAGCAAATATTGTTCTCCAACATCTCCCATTTTATTTATAGGAGTTTTCCTGTTCCAAACGTAAAACAGAACAAAATATTTCATGTGTATTTTAAATGTGTTGAGAGATTTATTTTATATTTTATTTCCTTTACACCACTTAAATGTCTAAATATTTAATTTTTCATGGAATAATGGAATTTATTTGGAAGACATTTGATGCACTTTGTATTATTATCTGAATTATTATTTGTATTAAATTCTTTTCACTTTTCTATAAAAATTTGTTTGCTTATTGACTAAGGGATCTGCTATATCCTAACGAGGATGCATTGGAGGTCCATGGTGGTGCGGCCCGTGGCAAGGTGGGCCGTGGTGTGGTGGCCCGTGGTGCGGTGGTCCGTGATGCGGGGGCCCGTGATGCGGGGGCCCGTGGCACGGTGGGCCATGGTGCGGAGGTCCGTGGTGGTGCGGAGGTCCATGGTGGTGATCGTGGTGTGGGGGCCCGTGGTGGGGTGGTCCGTGGTGGTGATCGTGGTGTGGAGGAGGCGACATCTTGACTTGGCTAACGACAAATTCGTACTGAAGTTTAGCAGCCTTGACTTACCATTTATATGATTCCAAATACTATTTCGACTTATCAGCACACTCAGATAAGAACGGGGCGTCCACAGGCCCTGTATTCGTTTGGAAATTCCGAATATATCTCCATAAAGATAGTGGACTTGCCCATAGCCAGAAAAGTTGATGTACTCATGGCGCATAAATCTACGTTGTGTTGGTTATGGATTGTATTTGTTTTGGGAAATGTTTCCCAATGAATGTTTACCTTTTTAATAAAAGTTATAAAATGGAGCAAAATTGCATTAAATGGCTTTGAATTTAATTACCGAATTTTCACACAAGAATTTCCTTGGCTATAGCTATATACGGAGAGGATAATCAATCAATTTGGTGTTGGTTCTGATATGTAGCTTATTGCACTTATTGCATTAGAAAAACGTCATGGCAATCATTTGATGATTGATTTGTTATATTTATATTTATTCAACTGAATCAAACAATAAATAAATTTCGTATAGATTAGCAAATATTTCATTTGCTTTGGGAGTGAAATGAAATCCGTAAATATATGTTGTAAACATTATCTATAAGTTCTGGCTTGTAGCAGGTGCCCGATAAGGGGAACATTATCTTATCGGTGTCTAGTAATACGCATTAGAATCCAGATAGGTTGTAGGATATTACTCAGAGTAGGTATATGATTGGAATGATGATTGGTCGGTGCTTTGGGACTCCCGCACTCGATTCAGGGGGGATCTACATACGAGGGGCATAAGCCATAAAAATACTACTAATACGGATCCATAAAAATACTACTAATACGGATCCATAATAATACTGAGATGCAAGACCCACTGTTGGGTGTCCCAGCCTGATATTTCGTTATCAAAAAATTAAATCGCAGTTAGTGCTGCAGCCTTAATGTAAATCATTATTATTGTTCTATATTTACACTGCCCACTGTACTTAGAAATCTCTATGCCTCCTTCTTCGTTTCTGTAGCTGTTTCCTGTTGAAACGAAGCTTTTTTTCCAGCGCTCAATTGCTCGTTCGAGCTCGACTTAGCAGCGCAGCTTCGAGCTCGAGCGAGAGAGGGTAATAACAGGAGAGCACTAGAGCTGCTGCTGGTGCTCTCCTACTATCACCATCTCTCTCGCTCTCATCTAAGATGTTCTGCATAGGGCACGGGCAATTCTACCTGCCAGCATGTGTAAACTGTACATACAAGCAACATACATATACTTGTATACGCGTAACTTTTGCAAATCGAATCCTCTCGCACTTTTATTTAAGAAATTCCATTCAACCTCTCCCACTTAAAGCCTTCATCAGCCATCACTCACATCGAAACATTGTCTTGAAACGCACTGTACCCATCCCCGTTCCTGTTCAGCCGGCAATCACTCAACCATTTAATAATTGACTGCATCTGTATTGGATTTCAGATCGATCGAAAAAGAAGGGGTCCAAAAGGGGTTCAAGCAAAGAGCAAATAAAATTTATAACAAATCTAACAGACATACATCATTTTGATATGGCCCGTCCATGAATTCGCACGGACACGTTCCGTCTCGTTCGTATATTTGCTTAAGAAGGATGCCCCATCAACTGTGGGGGGCCACACATGGGCATGGCCACTGCACGGATGTGGGTGCCGGGGGCAACTTTAGCGCAGGACAGACACATTAATTTTACTGCTCGCTTCTCTAACCGCATGCAATTTTTCTTGGCTGGCGCTCTTCCACCATCTCCGCCCACACCGGCTATCGGCTTTCAATGGCCGGAAGCAGTGGGGGTAGTGGTAGGGGGGGTTATATGGGATCCTTCAGTCAGTTAGTCAGTCAGCCAGATAAGTGCGGCTTATGTGCAGCACGTAGACCAACTCAATACACTCGATAAATTGCGGCGGCTGCTGCTTAGAACGCAGCAAACTTGACCGGCAGCATACAGTGGGGTTTTCAGGGGGGGTGATGTGGTGTGTGGGGGGTGAAATGAGAGACGGAGAGACGGAAGGCATCGAGGACCAAATTGATGTTGTGCAGTTTTTCTTTTTCGAGACTACTGCAAGTGCACTTTAACCCTCAAAAGGGGAGCCCTCCCTTCATTAAGAGCTTAACTTAACTCAATTTTGATGGCGGTCCTTGGCACTTGATTAAAGTATGCGTGTCCACTGGGCAAAGCATTCCAGCGAGCCTCTTCAGCAACAAATACCAAAATTCCATTGCAAATTTACTCATATTAAAAGCTCATTAAAGATCAAATGGTGGTGGCCTCCCTACCCCCTGCATAGCAACAACATTCCATAGAATTCCAGGGGCAAAACTCTGAACAACGAAAAATATGTTATTAATTTAAATTAATATAATCTCATATTTTTTGCTTCTGCTCCCACTGCCTGCGCTGCCTGTGCTTCCTCCTGCCTGAATGAGCTGGAAATGGAAACTACTTTCTCAACGTTACGCTGTCAGGTCGCGCATTACGGAAAGATGTTTTCCCTTTCCGCTGCGCTGCGGGCTAGGAGTTGTCGAAGTTCTATGGGGCTCGTATATGATGCATAGACATTGTCGTATCTGGGTTGCCATGAGAAATGGGGCGGAACTGTGGCTGCTTGGGGGTTGCGGGTCGGGGGCTTGGGCTCTGGAGTTTTGTGTGAATTTCTGGGTGCGGTTTTTGCATATGTTCTGCGGTGACTCAGTTTTCTGTGTGGTTTAATAATGTGGCGAGCGACATGGCCCAATCATGACAGCTTGAAATTCTACAAATATTTTTTATGGTTTCTGTGTGTGTTTTGTGGGCAATCTCAGCCAAGGAATCAGAAGCGCAGAAATCATTAGGAAATTTAATTTAAGGCATTTAATATTTTAGAAAAATTTCACCATGCGTTGAGTGCTCGAAAAGCTGAAGAAAATCTCTCCATTTTCCTTCACTTTAATCAATCAAATGGCAGAACTGAGCACGAATTTCAGTCATCGAAAGCCATTGCCCACTGGCAGTCATTCGCTGCAATTTAACCCACATTCAAAGCTCACTCACTGGCAAATCACAGCCAGACAACTTCATTTCAAATGCCCAGAAGGAGCAGGAGTCCGAGGCGCATGCATGCCCAGAAGCAGGAGGAGGAGGCCGAGGCGCATGCATGCCCAGAAGTAGGAAACAATTCGCATATGCAACAGCTGCTGATGTCTGTGGGCACCGAACCCCACTTGGCTGTATCCCCTTAAGCCATTGTTGGCTTGTTGGTTCGATAAACTCCCTGGAAACCGCCTCCAAACAAATCCCAGCTGCACTTCATCCATCTGGGTGTGCTCAGTTCTCAGTGCTCAGTTCTCAGTCGTCGTCAGTTTGATAGCGAATGCCCAGCGGTGAGCAAGAAGCGATACCGGAGTTGAGTGCTCGGCATAAAACGGCAACAAAAAATTGTTACGTGGCAGGCAATGGATAAGCTGCGAGTCAACAATGCTGCGGCGGCGGCGGTGGCGGCGGCAACGGGCGAGAATCCCTTCAAGCGGCCAATGAATGCACTGCAGAAGCAATGGTATCGAGTGCTTCTGGCCAGACGCGTGGGATTCGGGCAACGCCCTCCGCCGGATGAGAAGGAGCTAACGTAGTAAGTGTGCTGCTGCTCTCCGTTCTCCCCGTTCTCCCGTTCTCCGGCGCTCAAATCAAATTGTGTGAAAATTGCAATTTCCTGTTGATTTAATACATTTTACAATTTGCCCATTTGCCCATTTCCCAACGGCGTAGCGCCGACATTTGTCGTCAGCGTTATATGGCCGCATTCCGGAGATACAACGAACGTTTCCGCCGGGAAATGGCCAAGCACGAGGAGATGCAACGCTGCGCCATCGATGCGATGCGTGTCCACAGGTTAGAGAAATCAAAATTCAAATCCAAACAATTAAAAGAAAGTCTCTCCGAAGCAGAACCTTTGCAATAACCACGCTCTGGCTGCCATTGCACTCGAAGCAGGAAATCAACTCAACGCTGGAGACCCTCGAGCAGGTACGAGCATTAGCTGAGAAGTCAGCGGATACGTCCACGACTACGAGTACGAGTACTCGTACGAGCTACAAAATTTATGTTCTCAGGTTCTCAGTGCCGCGGAAAGACGACGCCTTCAGGAGATACTCAAGCAGGGCGAATCCCGGCCCGCGCGTCGATAGTACAGCCAGCAGCTCCTCCAGAACCAACGTTCCGCTCTCCCTCCATCATCATCCTCATCATCATCATCACATCTGCCATGGCTAAGTGAATTCCATTTAGCTTGGATTTCACTTTGCCTTGGAGTCTGATTTTACGCTACCTCCCTCCCCCCCTGCACGCCACTCCACTCCACTCCACTCCACGCCCCACTTTATTTTTCAGTTTTCTTGTGCTTGCTCTTGTCAGTGGCTGAAGTGACTGTCGTAAATATTTAATACAAGTAAAAGTGCAAAGTTCACTTTTGGATAAAACCGAAACTGTGTTGGGACTAGATCAATTTTTGTTTGGCTTTTCAGAGGGATTATGCGACAAATTTATAATCCTTTTACTAGTACTTGTTTTTGCTGCAAAAGTTGCTGTGGATTTTTAGTTGGCATTTCTGTTAATTTTTGCAAAGTTTTCTAAAGCGAAGAGCAGCGGAAAATCCGTACCAATTCTGGCGTACGTGAGCCCCATCCCATTCCCCATGCTGCTCATTTCACTCCAACTCAGTGGCAGCTTGAAGTCGCCTTATGCAACGTTCATAAGTCACTCGTTGGCATTCGTAAATCGGTGAAAAGGTAGACGGATACGGAAGCAGTGAATATATCCAGATTATACCATGAACATCTGGAGACATTCCCAAGGAAGTGATCAAGGCAGGACCCGATATGCAGTCGATATATAAACATAAATATTTGAGCTATTTTTGCCAGCGATTCCTTTCTTAATAGAGGTGTGCCTCCATCTCAGCATTTCTGTTTCCCTTAACATATTTTCCTAATTTATTATATTTTGCCAAAGCCAATCTGTTAAGCCTATTAAAAACTGCTGCTTAGGGCAAAGTTTTCGCAACTAAAACTGACATAATTCCAAAAGGCAAATGCCAAAAAAACAAAAAGGGTTCCGCTCCGCCCATTAAACACACTTGTTTTGGGCACAAAGATGTGAAAATATTTGCTAAGAGACAAAAACCAAAGTCAGCTTGAAGCTGACGCTCAAGCTGAAGCCCTAACCCACTCACATATCTCGATGACATTTGTTTGGCCAGGCTCGACGGCTCGAAATAGGCCAAATACCAAAAAAAAAAAAAGGGCTCAACCCAATATCCTTGCCAACAGCAAACGGCAAACAACAAGGCAACGGAAACAGAAGCATTGGCCAGCAAAAAACATTGGAAAAACAAAAGGGGGGGAAAGCCGATTCGTAGGCTCTGGATGCCACAGCTGTTCGGGCTGGCATATTGCCGAGTAGACAACAACAAAACTATTGAACAAAGTGGCGCCTGTCGCACTTTATGACGAGAACTGCAGAAGTTCCCCTCCCCCGTTGCAGCCCCCAAATAGCAATCACAGAAATGTGTTCTAATTTAAAGCCATAGAAGAAAGAAACCCCAAGTAGGGAAAAAACAACGAAAGGAAAGTTAGCTACTGCTGCTGCTGTGGGGATACCCTCACAAATCGATTTATTCCGTGGTGATATGTTGAAGCAACACAAACTCCTTTAGATATATATTAGCTAGCTCTGACTTAAATACTTCCTGCAGGAAACAGGCTATGAAAAGGCTAGTCAAGGGCTAATCGAGAACATCTAAGTATTTGTATACGCGTAATATATATTTATTCCTTTCCTTTTGCATTGTCTTACTTGCACTGAAAAGTCGCCATACCCTTTGGCCAGCGTATGGCAAACACCCAGAGAAAAGACAAAAGGAACAGCTGCCAAGAAAAAGGCCAGCAGCGGAGTGGGCTGGCTCTACGATTGGAAACTGTTGCCAGAATGCAGTTGGCAAAATGATTTTTATATATTTTATGTCTGTTTGAGTTTGTTTGTGTTGTCTGTCGTTCAAGTCGAAGTCAAAGTCGTTGTCGGGTCACATCGGGTCGTGCCTTGTCGTGCCCCCCCCTCCCCATCCCCACAGTATCAACATTAGTTCACGGTAATGTCATGAACTTTTCTGGCCTCAGCTGGCACTGCCATTGGCTTTGTCAGCGTTTATTGATGGCATCAAAGTGTTTTTCAATTTATTTTATTTTCTTGCTCACAATTTATTGGCGCACACACTTCGTGTGGGTCCGCCGCCGCGGGTATTTCCTGGTTATTTTCCTTGGCCCACGTGCGGATGAGTGTTATGATTGATGTTGCAACCATTTTGCAGCATAATTTTAGGCTGTCCATTGTTGGGGTGTGGACCTACAACTGCTTATGGCAGAGCGGGACAACTAGTGTAGCTGTGTGTGTTGTGGCCAGACACGTAGGCGCCGTTATATTTAAAATGTTTAAAAAGGAAATTCAATTGAAAATGGTTTGAGGGGCAGTTTCCCATTAAAGGGAATTGAGTTTAAGTGTGTAATAAATAATGAAATGATTGAAAGTTCATCAGCGTTTGTGCGGCAAAGAAGGAAGAAACCAAAAGTGCACATATTTTTTATTTTTATTTTATTTATTTTATTATTATTTTATTTATTTTTATTATTTATTTTATTTTATTTTTTTTTTATTATTTATTATTTATTTTATTTATTTTTTATTTACCTAAACTAGTTTGACAGCTGCTCATTGCTTGCTCCTGGCTATGCTGATTAATATTGCACTCAGTTTGCCCTCAGTTTGTCCTCAGTTTGTCCTCATACTTGTCTGTGAAAATAATAGCCATACTTTGCCAATGAATTCCACCACAAAATCACATTTCGCTATCATTAATGAACATTTGACAATTAACCCAATTGCACAGCAATTACAACAGCAGCGGCGCATCATTTCGGGATCCGATCTATTTACCGAAGACCTCGGCAAAACTGTGAAATTGGCAAATGTCAGAAGTCCTGAGGGCAAACCAATGGGGAGAGCCCGAAAAGGGGCCACCGCTCTAAGTATATGTACACAAACAGGGGACACAATGAGTTGATAATCCCAAAGGCAAATACATAGATAGGGAGGAGACTGACAGAAAGGGGGGGTGTGAGTAGCGGAGTGGCACTGGGAGTGGGAGTGATATGTCAGTGAAAAGACTCGCATATGTATATCCTGCCTCCCTCCCTCCACACACACATCTATCTATGCAAAGCCATAAAGCAACAATAATAAACGCACATCATCATCAGCGGTAGAGGTTCCTGCCATACGCGGCTCCTTCCACTGCCGCTTGCCGCTTGCCACTGCTGCCACTGCCACTGCTGCTGCTGTCAGCAAAAAAGTATGAAATATCATCTAAAATAGGAAATGCGTAAATGCGAAATCCTACAGAACGGAAACTCCAACTGAAAGCGATGCGCAAACGAACGATGATGATTTTTTTCCCCTCTCTCTCCCTCCACGCTAAACCAAAGCCCCAAACCCCAAACGCCACTGCCACTCTCATTCTCTATGCTCCTCTGTATGAAAGTCAATTTTTCATTTAGATAACTTTGACATACGCAAACGTCATGGAAAGGAAGGAGACACAAGGCACAGTGGTTGTGGAACGTACGACAATTGTTGATCGAGTTTTGAATAATTAATAAAAACGGGTATAGAAGGGGAGCTATTCAAATTGAGATTAATTACAGTTTTAATTTACAGTTTGTGCAGATTCGCGACTTGCTAGAGTTGAAGCGTATTTAACATCAGTCATTCCTAGCCTAAGAGCTAAGGCCACTCGAGCGCCCTGTGGATCGTGAGAGCGAGCACAAGCCCGCCTCTCAGGACGCTGTCAGAGAGCTCTAACAGTGAGCGCTTACAGTAAGCTGCAGACAACAGCGGCTACATGCTGTTATCGGAGAGCACTAACAGTGATCTGTATTCGAGAGAGGCTACAGGTGTTAGTGGAGAGCGGTAACAGCGCTGTTGCCCCGTTTGAGCTGCTGCCCTGAACATAGATAAAGCTGTAATTATATTTCTTTTATATATCCTTCTGTATTTTTAATGGAAATTTCTATGATTCTATGATAATGTACCCATAGTTTTCGCATACTTTTGTCCCACTGTGCGTTGTGAGCAATGAACTGGGGGGAGCATGTGGCCCCATTCTACATTTTGCATGTCCATGCGTGTTTGTGTGTGTGTGCGTCTGCATATAACGATTTAGATTTCGGGCTTAACCTCTGCCTCTCTGTTTCTGCTGGCGCCAGTCAGTTTTATCCTGAGGGGTTTCATCGCGGAAATGCGGGCAGCGTTTTGATAAATGAATTTCCCCCCCACCCTCACCCACAGCTATTCCATCTCTTTTGAGCACACACAAAGTGAATGTGCATGTGTATGTGTATATTTGTATGCGTGGCTTAAATGAAATGTTAACAATTAAACAGTAACACGAAAAGACTAACAGCAGAGAAAGTCGGTGGATTGGCAGGGGTTAAAACGCGACGACGTATACTTAATAGTTGGGGTATTTTGGTATTTTAGAGAGAAGAGGAAAATATAAATAAAAAAATAAAAAATATTATTAAAAATCAGTTTTGAAAATTCTTTAATTTTGCTTTAATTTCAAGACTGATCATAATTTAGGCCACAATGAAAATTCTGCTTTAAAGCCAGAACATTTCGTATGAAATCCATCTAAAAACTAACGCAAGAATACCACTAATATGAGTACAACTTCTGCCAAGCATTTTAATTCCGTGGGGGGGTTGTTATGATATTTGTTTGTTCTTGATTTTTGTTCCTTTGTTGTTTTGGTTGGGTGGTTGTTTAGTGTAAACTTACGAAAACATAAGTGGCAAAAGGGATACACATTTTTGGGGGGGGAGTGCGTGTGGGTGGGGGCAGTGTTTCATTAAGGAGGGTTGTTGTTCTTTCTTCATCTCCTTTTGCCTGTCTGCTTGCCAGTGAAGTTATTATGTATTTACAGAACTCCCCCACAATGCCGCCAGAACTAAGCAGACACTTACAGACTGTTGTAATCATAAAAAGTATTAAAAAAGCAACCAGAAGGAGTGGAAGTTGCTGCATCGCTGGTTTCGCTGGGCAGGACAGGTGGGGCCATTTGGCAGTTGATTGCCCATTTTTTGGGAAGCTACACTTGTTTACCTACTTGAGATGTACTCAGGGGGGGCTTCAGGGGTTCAGGGGCTCAGCGGCATGGCATATTGTCTGAGGAGGTGTGGCGGCTACGGCTGTGTGTGAAAGAATCTGGCCGCGACTTAGGTACAAAATTTGCGCTTACGTTAGCGTGA